AAAATTTCACAGAATATATACAGATACATTAATAAAAATAGTATTAATAATATAGATTGTTTAAAAAAAGCTGGTATTGTATACAGGTTAGAATGTGATTGTCAGAATCCATATATGTACATAGGTGAAACAGGGCGCATGTTAGAAGTTAGAATAAAAGAACATGAAGCGGCAATCAGATTGAAGTACAGTAATTCTCCGTGGTATGATCATACAAATAATAATAATTGTAAAATTAACCGAAATAATATAAAAATTCTGCATTTTGAAAAAGATGTTTATAAAAGAAAATTTAAAGAGCATTTAGAAATAAGAAAACAAAAAAATAATTTAATAAATCTCTCATAAGGTATGCAAATTGATTGCCGCTTGTATGAGTTAATAGATGGCGCTAAAACAAATTGAGATTGTATAGATTTTGTTTAAACATTGTAAAATTATTTTGTAAAAGAACTTTTTCATTGTAAACCTAATACTGGTATAATGTAAATGTTGTTTGTGTATCAAACGGTTTTACATACGTATATTAAGTTTTTGCTATGTTAACTGGTTTTACTACATCTGTTATACAACCCAAGTGTAAAAAAGTTTTATATGATTGTGAGTATTTTTTAGAAGTTTGTCTGTTGAAATTATAGTTGTTTGAGTTTTTAGATGTATATTAATATGGAGTACACAATTTTAGGTTGAAATATTGATTAGGGATGAAGACGGTTTGTCTCCCACTCCCTAATTTGAGATAAAAAAGAAACAATTTTTATAATTTACAAAATTGGAAAATCACTGAAGAGGGGTTGGAATACATTGTACCAACCCGAAATATATTTGTAGTCCAATGAAAAATAAAAGATAATTTGCTAACCAGATATTGCTGTAAGATACGTCTACCAAAGTGTTTTTGGATTACAGAGACGAATTTACAATTGTAATATAATGATAATGCTTGTTGTAGCTTCTTTCGATCTCATTCAGTATTGGTTTATGACAATTATCCAATTCGTTTACTTTCTCCACACTACTTTGTATGTTATCAAAAGACTTAGTTTACTTCTTTGAAGAAGTAAATGATACTGTTCGGAATTCCTAAATTGTCAATTTGTAATCACACTGCAATGTAATTTCGCGTTTGCTTTCATTGCCTCGATTATCACAATTAATGAAATCAGAATATAGTTAGTTTCAAACATTGTATTGTTTTAAAGATTAGCCAGAACATTTACAACCGATTTAGTTTGGCAACACATTCTGTCTTCATCCGATGATTTAAAAGCATTGCTCTTTGCAGCTTTGAGTGTTAATAATGCAAGGAAAAGTTTTAATGTAGAAATTGCCTTTTCCTTTCTACTTCGATTACAGCTTTCCTGTGCATCAAGATTTCCAGTTTGACTGTTCTCAATCCAGAAGTTGAAGTTGGCCTTCAAATTGAATGTTTGGAATAAGTCATGAAAAATCACAGTTGGATTTTTCGGATTTTTCACACAAACTTCTTTTATTAGTAGCTTAGAAAGTTTGGAGGTGAAGGTTTACATACAATAATCAACTGACGTTTCTGTCTTTACCAACATCTCTATATTGTCTATATACATATGTTTTCTGATGTGCCTGTGCACGAGGGCAATGAAGAGGAATGGCAGGGGGAAGACGACCACCCAGCAAACAGCAAAGCTTGTGCGTGCGAAACCTAAATTATATGTGATTGTTCAGACAGCATCGGGTGACTCAACCTCCGGGACATACTCAAAGCGGTGGCAGCAGTGACTGGCAGCCTCACTAGGATTGCCACCTGTCCGGATTTGACCTAGAGACTCCGGGATTGAGCGAGTTATCTCCGGGCTCCAGGGTTAATTAATATTTCTCCGGGTTGTGCAAATTGAAATAAATATGTAAAAAATTATATGCAAACTGTCGCATATATTTCTTCCCCCGTGTACCGAATTACTAGTGTGGTAGTCGTTGGCATAGGCACAGTACCGCTTTTTTTTTTTGCTTGTACGATTCATTCGTAATCATATATACCTCCAATCACCTCCAATATCCAATAGAGCTAGGTCACTTGCGTTACTCCTATCCAAGTCTCCCTAGTCGCTAACTGTAACTGATTTAGAACTGGCATGCACTGCAAATTATTCTTTGCATTGCAAAATGACATTGCGCATGCGTCAGGAACTTTTGTTCGAACAAACCTCACCTGCCCTCAGTCAGCGATTTTGAAAAGGTGGCAACGCTAAGCCTCACCTACAAAAGACTGGAAACGGGCTAGGAGTCGTCAGGTAGTGAGAGGAGGAGACTCTTTCAAAGGTGAGTGCAGAATATGTTTTCTTGGCCTTTTCCATTGTCAGTTAGAATGTGTTAAAGATAGCAAAATAGAAGCATGCTCGGTTTAGATGGGAGCGTTGGCATCAGAGAAAATGTTGCCTAATTAGCCATGTTAACTGGGCTTTTCTTTAGTTGTTGCTGATAAGAAGCATTAGAATATGTGGCCGGCTTGCTGCCTGTTAAACACGCAATAGACTTAGCAGAGGGAGAGTGGCACGACTCCCAATGGCACTCCCCAGAAGTAGTGGTCAAAAGATGGCGATCCTCATGTTTAGGGAGGTTTTAGGATTATCTAGTAAGTTCTAACAGAAATCGTATAAAATGCAGTTTCGAGATTTAGTTCTGAAAATTTTCACTTTTAAATTTTACCCCATTTTTGAGGGTCTCAAAAAAGTTCACACAGTATCATTTTGGGGGGCCTATATCTCGTGACGGGTTGCCCATACGGGCATGGCTTCTTTGACTTTTTTGTTCCTATCGATATGCTCTACAGCTCTGTTAAAGTCCCAATCCCGTCATTCAGTCCTAGATTTCAACCTACAAACTTTTTTATTATTTTGTTATTAAAATTAACTGCAGCATTTTTTCCAATTTCTCTTTATTTTTGACCGGTATTTTTATTTGGCTACTTTTTGGCTCTTTTATTTGACGTTGTTGGCGCCACTGATCACAAAGATCTGGCAACGTGCATCATGTTGTTTTCGTTTCTCACGACGAATTAACGTACTCGCGACTTTAATGCTAATTGTATATAATTCCGCGTATCTTTCCTCTCAATTTTATTATTATTATTAAATTAAACAATAAAATAGTACAAAAAACGTACTCACAGGATTTTCCATCAATCGTTCTAACCTCATTCGCTGCAAATCCGTGCAAGTTTTGGGAACAATAACATTTCGTTCCTTATTCTTCTTACTTTCATCCATATTTAGTATATATGTTATTTAATTCTCCGGATGAAACTTTATAGTTATAAACGAGGTAAAAGAATGATTAGAAATTTCACAAATTTCCAATTTCTTCGTTTCAAAAGCTTCCAACCATCAAAACAAACCAACACCGCCACTCCATTAAATATCATAAAATTCAGTGTTGCCAATCTATAAGTCAATATAAATACTGTAATACTGTACTTAAAAGTTAATGAACTTATAAAATATCGGATGTATGAAATATAAAATTATAAAATATTCAAACGTTTGAGAAATTTGTAATAAGTGATTACTGGAATTTTTACATTTTCAAAAAAATTCGTCGAAGTTATTTGCCAGGGGTGGACAAGCAAAAGTGGTTTTACAAAATGCATGGGAGCCGCAGTTCTGTACTTTTTTATTCTGTACCGTTACCGCAATTTTATTATATAATATAAATATAATATAAAACATATTGAATTTTTTTAGTAAATATATTTTCACAAAATTGTGGAAATAAAATTGTAAAAATATAATAAAAAGCAGAAATTAACACTTTCAGCAAGAGCCGCATTTGTCCATGTCTGTTATATGTACAGTGACCATATTTTTTGGGGGGAAATAAAGGACATATCGAAGAAAATCAAAAAATACCTTATAAAATTCATAAGTTTATAACATTTATTATGAAAATAGTAGCATACAACAATGTGTACATTAAAATTTTAAACAATCTGAATTATTACACATACACACATTGTAAAAATTTAAACAACATTAATTTTGATACTTTTCAGTAGAATTAATTTTTTTATAGCGCCGTTTCACGCTTTAAAGTCATAAAATTCCATACAGTTCATTTGAAAGTTGTATTTAACGGAAATACATGCTTCTGATGTGCTTACTTTTAAATGGGTTTTTTCATTCATCCGCATATTATTCAGCAATGAAAATATTCGTTCAACAGAGGCATTAGATCCAGGGAGACAAAGAAAATTCTACGATTTTACAAATGTTTTTGAAAACAATTTCTTTTGCTGTAAAATGTTCAAAAATCTCAATCCACCTTTGATGGCAGGGCTGGTTATTCTGTCACCATTCGTCGATCTTTTCGTTTGTGACATATTTTTTTACACATGAAACTTCATCAAATAATTCACCGTCGAGTATATTTACGGACCAATGATTCGAAATAAAGATATAGCTTTCCTCTACTTTCGCCCACAAAGGGATTTCGCATAATGTGACCCATTCAAACACCTCTATTTCAATAAAAAACATGTCCCAATTATTTAGATAATCTATGCACGTTTGATAAAATGTGTACACAGCATCATTGAATTTTTTGGCTTGTATATTTTCTGATTTTTCTAATGCTAAAACCACTTTTCTAATAACAATAGGAAGAAACCCCTCATTTTTTCTTTCAACTAACTTCAGCTTTAATTAACAAGTGTATCATCCATCAACTAGAGAGTTAAAAAACTATCACAAAAATCCCCATAAGAGTGTCCACCCCCTGGTACTGTCAGTGGGCCGTTTGGTTGGCGACACACTGCACTACTGCGCTCTATGTAGCAATGCAACACTGGTCGTGATGGCGTATACAAAACTAACTTGTTCAATATATTATTAAAAAAAATTTTTTTAAACTTTGCGTCAACTTTACAAAATAAAGGACAAAATGCCTATTTTAGAAAATAAATAAAGTTAAAGGACAGAGCAGTGAAATAAAGGACTGTCCTCTTAAATAAAGGACGTATGGTCACTGTAGTTATATGCCATTCGAACTTTGCAGACATTGCTATACCGGTACGTTTTGTACCAGCGTACGCTACTTCTTCCGATTTCTTTACGCATGTATTTTTAATCAGTCCGAAGATGATACAATGCATGATGATACAAGATGATACAATGCATTGTATCATCTTGTATCATCATCTATATACAATACAATGTAATCGGGGCCGTCGAAAGTTTATACCGATCCCGGGATACAGCGGGCTGATATTTCCATATTTTTTTAAACCAATGAAATACGTAGAATGTTTCTTTATTAAAAAGTCGTCTCAAATATTTTATTTTCTGTTATAACATTAATTTTAAAGGTGTAGAAATCACTACCGGTTCCTAAGTTTTTTCTGGGCTCGGGGAATATCCCCAGTTACCCCTCTCGACGGTCTTGAATATACTGTATACATAAGGCACAAATAATACGATTGGGAGATGCTATCGGGGCTTTTTTTTGTGGTGTGGTCTATCAACGAGGCCAATGATAAAGACAGGCCAGGGCGCGTGACCAACTTAGTGCTATGGGATGCAAAACGTGTTTGCTCCTGTATATATACAAATACATTATATAGTAGATTTATTGTGTAATAAAGTTTAATTAGAAAACTTATTTATGAAAATTCTGCTATGAATATAAATAATTATAAAAATAATGTAACATAGATTTTTAAAATAATTTTATTAAAATTTCTTACAAAAAAAATTTTTTTTACAGTTACATAAGTATTACATACAGAATATTATACATACTTTTTATACAGGTGATATATATTTTTTTCACATTTTTACAGATACTATATTGACAGAAGTACAAATTAATTAGACACTGAAAAGCCAGAGATAAAATGATTTAAACTAACAGAATATTTATTTTCCTTGAAAATGATTTTTAGATTCGTCATTTCAGTTTCACATAATTACAAATATAATCAAACACCAAACATTTGCTGAGCTTATTATTTACTATTCAAACGCTTTCAGCCTACTTCTAATAGGCCATCCTCAAGAAATTACTGTTCTACTATCGAATACAAAGCTTTCGAACAATTTTTAAATTTAAAATTTTAACATATTTTTAAAATTCAAAACGTAAAATACTAAATATTTAACCAAAAAATAACATATTATATACAATGTAAAAATAAACCTATATAACGTATAATATACATTAAACGAGTTAAAATACCATCGCCACAAGTTTAAGGGTTTTTAATTCCCATTTGTTTTTCTATTACGTATTTCCATGCTGTTGGAAGAGCATTGGCATCCTTGGCGTTTAAGCAGTTGTTATTTATTTTGCTCTTATATATCTCCATTTTTCATACCAAAGGCAATAGTTGGGGAATGGACCGGTTTAATTATCTTTGCCTCATCCCACTTTACACTTGCCCCATCCGTTTGTGCCATAATTGCCAAGATGTTGTTGTTGTGCCCTTTACTGACGTCATATATGTGTTCTTTTATACGCACCTCCAAGTTTCTTGTGGTGATACCCACATAATCTTTCGCCACTCCTAATTGCTGATTTTCAAAAGGAATTCTATAAACTCCAGCCTTTTCTTTCATTCCTACCTCGTCCTTATCATTCCTTAACAATTTGTAGATGTTTGGCTCCCGTTTATACACAGTTCTGGTGTCTTTATACTTACATAATTCCTCCATTATTCCCTCTACATTCTTGTTATATGTAAATTTAATAAATTTATTTTTTCTACCATCCCGTTTGCTTGCCCCTTGTTTGTAACCCTTGACCAATCCGTTAATTGTAGACGTTTTGCATCCTAAATTTTTCGCAACCTTCTTGATTCTGTTAATCTCGTTAAATCGATCCTGTATGTTGGTGCAATATAAGAATGCTCTTTTTATATTTTATATAAAAAATGGAGATATATAAGAGCAAAATAAATAACAACTGCTTAAACGCCAAGGACGCCAATGCTCTTCCAACAGCATGGAAATACGTGATAGAAAAACAAATGGGAATTAAAAACCCTTAAACTTGTGGCGATGGTATTTTAACTCGTTTAATGTATATTATACGTTATATAGGTTTATTTTTACATTGGTAAATTTTTACATTGGTTTATTTTATTGGTAATATAGTTTCAGGAACATTTTCATTCAAAAATGTTCCTGAAAAATTCATTCTGAAATATATAATATTTCAGAATGAATTTTTATTAATAGTATTTTTAAAGTTTTCTTTGCAAGGTAACACAGTATTTAAATTAATTCAATATCATGACCTTTATATGACAAAATTACAAAGCTTTTAAATCTTAATTTTTTTTTTTCACTTTCTAATAACTGCATGTAACTGATATAATTAGAACCACTTAAACTCCCTGTAATATCCAAATCTTTCCTCTATGTTAACATTCCGAAACTTTGATAACAGAAGATAATCTAAATTTTAATTATTAAACATATATGGAATCAGTTTTACAAAAGCTTCACTTGTAATTAATGCCTGAAAAGTTTGAGATGTTAATATATTTGTTATAGGTAATGCTGATTTCCACTTTTTTAGTCATAAAATCATCCACAACCACTGTCCAAGCTGTTAGATCCATTGAAATTCATTTTAATATGTTTTTTAATCAAAAACAAGTATGGTGTGTTGTTTGAGAAACACAAAAGAACAATCACTACTAATGAGTACAATTGAGATACACAAACTTCACACACGTGTGTAACTCAACTCTAGTTAAACTGACTTTTGGCAATCTGCTTTTTATTGTTGCAAAATATGTTTCTAAAGCTGTAGATGTCATTTTTGATATAAAAAAAGTGGGGACCAAAAATTGGTCCTCACTGACAAGATGTCTGTTCAAACATTGGTCCTTACAAGTGAGTTCCACCAACACAAGTGCTTACCAATACCTAACCAGAGAGACCTGTCCATATGGAGTATGTCCACCCCAAACTGCTAAGCAGCATTCACAACATCCTGGCTCAATGACTTCTGACTATCACCGCTAGTAACTGTGTTCATCCTTAAGCTTTGGACATGTGTTATTTTATATATGCATTTTGTTTATCAGTCTTTCTTAATACATTTTGAAATATTGTGCACACAAAAAGCTATATTGATAAAATAATTTTATTTATTACTTAATACAAAATACTAACAAACAAACAAAAATTAAATAAATAATTTATTTCCTATAAATCTTGCAACTACTTAATTTTCCTTGTGTTTATGTTCTTTTTGTTCTTCATTTTCAACATTAGGAATTTTTGCTAGAGAGAAAAAAAAATTTAAAATTACTTTTAAAACTATTTATATCAATTGTAACTTTCATTGTTTTAATTAAAAAATAATTTAACAGCACCTAATATAGCCCAAAAATTCACTAAATTATAAAAATATTAATTCAATTGATTAGAAATTAATCCATTTAAAATACTTAAATAAGAGTTAAATTATAGGCACTGTATATTAATATACAATTATACAAAATAATTTTTATGTTATATAAAAATGACATGATTAATAAGAAATATTATGTCAAAGCATCTAGCTTATTGATTACACTAAGGGGGATTTGCCTTCTGCTTGCTTCACTCACTTGCCTTACAGAGTTCACCCATCTGTTCAAAAATTTTATGATGATTCATTGATTACCAGTGCCACAATTTCTATTTTTCCTCTTGCTGTCATAGAGGGCCAAACTCACCCACTTGCATCACTCACTGCCCATGAGATTTGACCCTTATTTCCAATTTAGACTATTCATAAAAAAATTTTGTGACAGTTCAATTCCTGGTGCTGCTGTTATATATGTATAAAATTTTCAGGGATAGTTTGATCTAGATACATTGATTTCCATTAGTCATCATCTGGTCATCCTGTACCATTGTGGGTTTGGGTAAATCCATGAAAATCATAAAAAAAATCTTTCTTAATGCATGAAAAGTGGAAAGAGTTAAAAGAGAATGTATTGAATTTTCTTGTTACTACAGCAAAACATATCGAAAACAATCCTTTACAAAATGGAAATTTGCCTAAATGGAAAGAAAATCTAAAAACAATGATTTCTTATGTAAAACATTATCATAAGCCAGAAATGGAAGACTTGGAAACAAATTGCGTAATATAACCTAAGTAAAGCAGAACTTTTCAGCATAACAATAGCTAAATTGTAAATCAGAATTAACACCGTAAGTTGCAGATTCAGATCAAAGACTGTAACTAGTCATCAAGAAGTAGACTATCATTTATTTCCTTTATTAAAATTTATTTTCATTGTCTGGAAATTAGTTGTGACAATACAACACTGCTGTTTCCCCTACCTCTCTAAAAGAGTTAATTAATTAATAGAAACATAGCCCTTTATAAAATGAAAACCTGCAAAAAATGGAAAATTCTGCTTGATACAGTAGCTTTATATTTTAACTAGATTTTTTGTATATTTTAAAATGTAATTATTTATTAAATTATTAATAAAATAATTTACTTAGTATTACAGATAAACACTATAAATAACATTAAATTTTATAGTCACCTTTAGGTGCAACAAAATAATATTCCTTTACATTCTGAGCATTTTTTAATATGAGATCTCTATAATTTCCATCTTTTACTATATCTTCTTGTAAATATAGTTCCCTACAAATTCATTGAAAATTATTAAAATAAATAGTATTATAATCAATATGTACTATCAATTTTTATTTAAAACTGATTTTACATAATTTTCAATCATTATATAATTACTAAACATAGTTATGTACTAAATGCTTAAATTCAAGTTAAAACTATAAAATTATAATGTACTGAAATATTTAACATTGTAATTATCCGTTAGGGGCTGTCCATAAATTATGTAAGGTATTTTGGGGTGGGGGGTCAAGGATTTCTTACGATTTCTTACTCAGGTAGGGGGTAATAGATCTCATCTTACGTAATATTCTTATTTTTATTTTTTGTTCTCGTTGAGTGGTAGCGTTTTGAATTCGGCTTCAATTTGGCGATTTCTATTAAGAACGCTCGTTGTCTCGTTTGACGTGATAGAGTAATAACGCTAGCAGATTCACGCTCTACACATTTTTTGTTATGGGAGAAAGTCCGTGTAGTGGTTTCTTTCTCTTGTTTTTTATTAGATTAAGTGCACCACTCCTATGGATGTTTAACACTAAGAATACATAAACCAAAATACACGATACAAAATAANTTAAAAATATTCTTTTTTGTGGTAAACTTTTAATACTTATTACTATATTCTAGACATGTTAATACTTAAATATACTTGTATATTTAAGGATCGGGTCAAAATATACTTGTGGCCCAAAACTCCATGACTTCTTCCAATGTGGCCCAGAGAAACAGAAAGGTTGGACACCCCTGTTTTATAGCAAAATAAATTGCTTTCAAAAACATTTGTAAAATCATAGAATATTCTTTACGTCTCCCTGGATCTAATGCCCCCCGTCGAATGAATATTTTCTTTGGTGAATAATATGTGGATGAATGAAAAAACCCATTTAAAAGTAAGCATATTAAAAGCATGTATTTCTGTCAAATACAATTTTCAAATGAACTGTATGGAATTTTATGAATTTTTAAAGGGGAGGGGATCAAAGAAAATATTACCGTTTCTTATACAGGGGTGGGTGGGGTTCTAGAATGGCCAAAATTACCCTTACGTAATTTACGGATGGCCCCTTAGCAATGTTAAATGTGTAACCAAATTAGAAAAACATAGCTAACCATATTATTAAATATGAAATTTGTTTTCCCTTCCTCATTCAGTGTTTAAAAAATAATTTAAATAATTTGCCTGTAAGATTTTTACAAATATCCCAAAAGAAATTATATGTAATTGCTTTTGAAATATAAAATTTTAAAAACGTTTACTCTGCATCTACAATAATTTATATATTTTTGTCAATAATTTCTGTTAGAGTTTGTGTTCACTCATTTTCTGATTATAATATCTTTAACAGAAACTAAGATTATCAGCACAAAACCTTTCTCACTAATTTCTAGCCTTAATAACAGGAGTACAAACGTTTTCGGCCTTCTGATATTTTAAAAGACATCACCAAAGAATTGTTTAGTGATGTCTTTTAAAATATTTGTATTAAAAAGTTTGATTAAGTTGAACAAAAATATTTGCAATTATAATAACTTTTAGTTTAAACATTGTCTTTATTATCAAATAGTTTTGCTTCTTTTTGTCAACAATATAAGTGTGTTACTAACAAATTCAAATAGTAGAGTAAAAATATAAATAATAATAAATGGCTAATGGACATGTTATGGATATGGTGACCATACGTCCTTTATTTAAGAGGACAGTCCTTTATTTCACTGTTCTGTCCTTTAACTTTATTTATTTTCTAAAATAAGCATTTTGTCCTTTATTTTGTAAAGTCGGCACAAAGTTTAAAAAAGTTTTTAAAATAATACCAAAANAATGTGGTTGTTTTTTTTTCTCGTCCAATATTCGGAAATAACAACTTTTTAAACTTTTTCAGCTTTGTATTACGGATTAAACGTATTTTAAACTTTGTTTAAAATAAGTTTAATCCTTAAACAATAAAAACATAGAATACTCCAGGTTCAATTACTGAAGTCAGAATGTTTTTCTTTAGATAAGCAATTTATTAGTATTTACACGGAAATAAAAATATAAAACTGAACGATACAAGTACGTTTCGGTTCATTAATCAATGTATAGTTTTAAAAACAATTTGAAGGTTAATATTATAAATAATTTTATTTCTTATAATTGTTTACATTTTCTAAGCATAATGCTGAATATAATTTTTAGCTTATTTACTATCAATAGTGATTTTTAATAAAATATATTTTTCAATTATTGTAATGGTTGTTGATAAGATGAAAATACTAGCGTATTGAAGTGAATGCATCTTGTTTTTATTTACCTGAAAGTCACCATTAGAATATGTGAGAAACATATCAGATTTAAGTATATTGAAGAGAAAGATTAGTCACATTAGAAAATGTCAAAGTTACTTCAAACCAGATGTAAAATTTTATTTAATTTCGAAGAATATGCTAATAATAACAATTTACTAATTAAATTATCAAATCTTGAAGTAAGAATGTTCTTCCCTGTCATTAACGAAATACAAAAACATTTGAAATATTGTAAAAACTTTAGGAAGAAAATATAAATATTAAAATATTTTAATATTTAACATTATCAATAGTTTATAATATACCTCTATTCTAAATTATATACAATATTCTATATAATTCAAAGAAATATAAGTAATAATATCAACAAAATTTATGCTAATAAAAATTACCATATCATCTTAATAAAATTAATTACAATTAATAATCTAATTAAAAATAATAATTTATACATTTTAAACATAACCGCAAACAACTTTTATTTAATTTAAAAGCAGATTTTGTAATGTTAAATATTAAAATTTATTGAATTCTATTAATAATAATAATAATAAAATTTTATGTGCTACTTAGAGTGTTGCCAAAAGCAATATAAAATTGAAGTGGACATTTTCTAAATAATATCAAAATTTTAATTAGTAGATAGACAATTTCATTTAAGTTATAACAATCGTTCTTTCTGAACATATTAACAAATATCGATTTACTTTATTATATAAACATATCGAGAAATCGTAATCATAAATATCATATAATGAACAGGAAAAATTAAATTTTAAGGGAACTTGCATGTGTAAATTTGTGCATATTATCATTTATTTATACACACTCATAAATAATAAAAGAAAGAAATGATAAATAAATCAAAGAAAAACAAATAAATACATTAGAGTAAAATTTTTATACGTTTAAACGAATTTTTAATACAAATTTCTTCTTTTTATAACATCTAAAACACTAATTAAAGAATCGGATATATCGTTAATTATTTTGATTAATTATTAAGATTTGCTTACTATTTGCTTACTTTTTTCTATACAAAGTTATTTTATCACGTTTAATAAATTACCATTAAAACTATTTTTTTTAATTAATGCAAATTCGATTTTATTTTTTACGTAAATTTAAAATTTACCATTTATCTTAAATTCTTACCTATCTTCTAAAGTCGTTATTAATGGTTCAACATCAGTTGTATCAACAGTTGATAACAGATCAGCAAACTGAACAGCTTCTTCTAAACTTTTAATTGCATCTTCGTTAGCAAAATCAACAAGAGAAATACGTTCTAACTCCTCAACTGTAGAGTGATCGACTTGCTTAAATATTTAGAAAAAAAAAATTTGCAATTAATATCTAAGTTATATGAATTTAATTTAAATGACAGAGATATCGTTACCACTGTATTCTTTTTTGGATCTACTTTGCTTACTGGTGTCTGTGGAACCTATTAAATAAAAATCAACTAAATATTATGCTGCTCTTTCTTTTAATTTTCAGTTTATAAAAAACTTTCTTACTTTCGATAAAAAGCATTTTGTATTCACAGATATTGCACTTAATTTTGAAGTACAAGATAAGAAAATCCTAATACTAGAAAACATCTCAACACGTGTTTACCGAAACCATGCTTTTAGCGACCGAGGCGCCAAAGTTGGCGATATTCAAAATATCCCTTCAAAAATACCTTAATTTTGTTGAAAACTTGAATATTTTGTTTTTTATAACAGAGTCATTATGGATTATCCATTGACTCTGTTATATATATATATATATATATATAAGTAATCGAATATATAAAATGTAAATTTTATTAATAAGTATATGTAAAGATGATTTTTACAAAAAGTATGATGAATTCTTCCTCGAGATTTTGATCGTAATATGGTATACATTAATGAATACATATACAGTAGAGCGTCGTTTATCCGAATCAATTGGGGACTGGGGTGGTTCGGATAACTTATTTTTCGGATAACGAATCATGTACGAAAAAATATATTAATTTATCCCATGTTGAAATTTTTCTCCGTTGCGTGTTGCTTCGCGTTGAATTTTTGTCGATGTTAAGCCTAACAAAAACTTTGCCACACTAAAAAATTATTTTTTTATTTTGTACAAACAAAATAAATTTATTGAAAAATATAAAAACAATAAAAAATTATACTTCAGATGTTAATTTAGTATCAAAAACGTAAAATATTTGAGTAGCCCAAGAAATAGCCGAAGATTGCAGCGTCACAGCACTAGCGAAAATTTAAATTTGCAGACTGGAATGCTTTCGGATAACAGACATTTCGGATAACCAGCTTTCGGATAAACGACGCTCTACTGTATAATGTTTGTTTCTTTTAGTTATGGCAACACAACACTTGGGCGATCTGCCAAGGGAGATGCCTTCCGGGAGGTCTTTTTAAGGTAAACTGGTCCCTATTTAGGCATTACAGATGTAGAGAAAATCCGGAAAAATTCCACGTGGCCAGCCGTCCGAGCGAGGAGCGAACCCACTGAAATCCCAGTGTTCAGAGTACGAAGACTGCTTGGCCACTGGTTGACCATATATATATATAAAGATTGGTTTAATTTCAAATCACTTCAATATATAAGCAATAAAGTGGCAACTTTGGACAACGGGATTTGCGCTCAGGACTGAAACTTAAGGAAATTTTTCATATATTTCGGCTTATTGTAAGCTGGCCGAACTCATAAGAAGCACGAAAGAAAGGTTTTTTAGTGCTTGTAGGACAGAAAGAATTGTGGAAAGTCATTCGATATTTAAAACGATAAATAGATGCAATTTCGTTTTAAATTCTATCTAATCTTTGGTTAGTGTGACAATTTATTCTTAGATGATCAGAAATGTTTTTCCAAATTCTGTAGTAATGAGGCTAGAAATATATTTTAATCGCATTAACCTATAATATGTGTTGCCTCATTCTATATTGGAACGGTATTTTATCTATCGCCTATACTGTATATACTACAGTGGCGTGCCGTCATTAGAAGCGTTGGAAGCGCCGCTTCCCTCGTATTCTCTAAAAAATAAATAAATACTTATTACTATATTCTAGACATGTTAATACTTAAATATACTTGTATATTTAAGGATCGGGTCAAAATATACTTGTGGCCCAAAACTCCATGACTTCTTCCAATGTGGCCCAGAGAAACAGAAAGGTTGGACACCCCTGCTTTA